CCATGACATGTTTGTCAAAAATGAAGCTCCATGTGAGTTGAAAGAATAATCACTACATGAGCTAGGTGTGGTTTCATATTTATCATTTAGCACCAAGCAAACATCCAGGAGGGAGATTTTGTTTTCATGCTCAAGCTAGCAAAAGGTGCTTTGGTTGGATGATTTAAAACCCAAGAGCATGATCAAGGCAATATTGATTAAACAATCTTGCTAAGTGCTGGTCATAGCAATGCCCAAGCACTCTTTAGAAGTGCATGACTTTGTTTGCATGCAAATGGCCACCATCACTGCCTGATACTGGCACAGAGCCATTCTGCTTTATATCTTGTTTTATAGGAGTGAAGGGAAAGAAGGAAGCAAAGAGAAGATGTAACAACTAGGGCTAATAAAAGGCCAAACATACAGAAGATTGAGGCAACAAGGGAGGATCTGTAAGAATGGCAAGTGACTCTGGTTGCAGCAACAATCCTTTGGTCAACACAAGAAAAACAGCACAGGAGTTAGGATATTGAATTTTAAGCCTAATTAAGGCAGAAAACGGTGTCCTTCCTGATCAGCCAAGCAGAAATATTTAATTACAAAACCAATTCTGGGGTGGCAAGTGTACCACATCTGACACTGCCTTCCTCCAAGCAGAACAGGATATGTTCAGAGGGTGAAAAGGAGGAGGGAAAAAAAGAAAGAAAGACGGTGTTAAATCTGGGAGAAAAATCGAATTCATATTTGTTTAGGATGGACAGAAAGAAACAGAATACCATGGGTATACATACCAGCATAAATACTTTGTTAATATTGCTTACAATAATTATAAAACGATTCAGGAAGTATGCATGGAGGGATTTAATTAGAAATCGACTACTATATTTTCTTTTATAAATAAAACATTTAATTTAATCTCTAAGGGAATGATGAACCTATTAGAGAAGTTTTACCATCACAAAACTGAATATAATAGAACAGAGCATAAAGTAAAAAAATTTACACAAAGATAACATAAAAACTGTACAAATGGTCATTTTTGTATAATTTTTCAAACAAAACCTTTTAATATTGGTTTATTGAAATATTTTTGTTAAACCATACATTTATTGCAGTACTTTTATCCCGCAAAAATACATGTTAAGTAATTGAGAGGCATAAGATAGCTGCCACAAGATAAAATCCTATTCCCTGCTTATTATTTAAACTTATTTAAATGTATCGCCCTGAAACCAGTTAAATTTTGCTATGTTTCCCCATCTGTTGTGCAATAGCAACTCCTATCTGTTTTGCCTCACTTCAGTGAGTTTCACATAATGCAACACAGAGGCGTTGTATAGGCATAACTAACAGCTACAGCTTTCAGTGGTCCAGAGAGCATAATATTTTTACATTTTATGAATACCTAAAGTGTTAGTATATTATGCTTGGGTATTGACAAATATAAATCTTGTGCATTCTGTTGTAATGTTTAAACCATTATATTATTTACATGGGATCTTTAAAGCTCACATGATAAACATTTGAAGTCAAGGACCCTGTGGTAAAACTAAGATACAGGCAACGGATAATATAGGTGCTGCTGACTGTGCAAAGATGCCCCTGAGACAGTCCGGCACATTAAAGCTGGTTGGATGATACTGCAAAACAAAGAAGCTGGAAGAGCGTACATCTGTGTTTATCATGGCCTTGAATTCCCTCAGTCTAAGTGGGAGGCACCAGCGAGAGGCCATGGAAATTACAGGGTTAACATCCTGTGGGACTTCCAGCTCCGAAAAGACAACAGATGATCAGTAACCGATGAGACATTGTGGTGCAGGACAAAAGCAAGACAGTAACACAGTGGGGGAGGTAGCAGTGATTCCATCAAAACATCGAAAATAAGAATAATAAAAGGGTTGAGATATACAGAGAGCTTAAATAGATTTGTGTTCAGGGTAATATTTGTCCAACATGCATATTCTAACTGAAGGGTAAGCAAAAAATATAAATCTTCACTGAATTTCATAGAAAATTTGTGAAACAAGCCAAAAATTAGAGCATTGATGATGATGCTTTCCAAATTCATATATCAAATTATCAGTGGAAACATGCAAAAAAAATGTTAGTCAAAACTAGAATGGTTTGTTCGATTGCTGTATATAATAAAAACGTTCTATTCAAGTGTAGATGCAAAATGTATATTTTTTCCACAATTAACACTTCTTTTACAGCGTTACATTATGTTCATAGAGATGCTTCTCTCATTTTAAACCAGAGACTACAATCAGGTTTAAAATCCTTTTCAGAAAAGGTGAGGTATGAATATAAATGTTAGATTTTGCAAATTGTTTTGCAGGAACCTATTAAGAGAAAAACCTCATTACCATGTTCTGCTCAATTATGAGATGAAATCGTTTGCATTAAGGAGCATGAGGTCAAATCCAACTGTGTCTTTATCTGGAAGTGAGCAGCTGCTGCAAACTGAAAGGCTTCTAGAAAAAAACTCATCTTCTTTGTGAAGAGTCACCATTGAGGACAGATTCCACAACTCTTTCTGCAGCGCCATGGTGATGGATTCATGTTGGATTTTTGAGTCCTATTTTTTTACTGTGCCGCTATAAATGAATTATCTTACGGTGGTATATTTATATCCACATGTTACTGTAGTCACAAAGCCGATACTATCTTTAAATTGGAAAAAATATGTCGATTTTTTTTTCAAACACCGTCTAAAAATGCTGACTTTAGAAGAGCTAATTAATTACTAATGCCTTATTACCAAACACCTTTTAAAGACTTTCTGAAAAAGGAAACTAAGGATGTGAAAAATTCATTTTGATTGAAGTGTTAATTTATGCACCTAATTATTTTTCAGCCTGTATTCAAAAGTTAAAAGTAGTTTTGTAAGTCTTTGCCAAAAATTGATAATAATGTCCTACTTTCTTCAGCAAAACTAAAAATAACGGCTCAGTGACAAGAGAACTTTAAGAAATTTACTTTTTTATAAGAAGAGCTAATATAAAGTTCTGTTGCATGACCAAATATATGTTTTCAAGTCCATCAATCCAAATATATCTTTTAGATTGTTTAAGACCGTGCTTTAAAATGTGGATATCTCTTGACTATTTACCAAATGCAAGAAGTGTTTAAAATAAGAACAGCTTTTTGTGGAAAATGTTGACCTTAAAGTCTAAAGGTCTACATAAATCTGTATGCATTTCTACTGGTTAGGATCTCCATTGAAAAGCATCGGAGCCCTCAGAGAGCTGGCTGAAAGGACCTGGCACTGTTCTTATCTTGCCCGCGTTGCTGTGTGACTCACGGCATTAGCAGGCAGCACAGTCATTAGGGGCAAGAAGACCTTTCATATCTCCGACAGCCCCACAGCCCTCCTCAGGGTCGGCCAGCAGGGACTCACACACTCCCTGCCTCCTCCCTCCTCTGAGCCTCAGCTTTTTGTCTCAGTCCCTCGATCCTCCATTGTGGCTCTGTCTCACACAGATTCAATGTCAGGTGTTCTCTCGCTGTGTTAAATAAGTCATTTTTTTCCCGGTGCCTTAGGGGGCACAGCTCATGTGGCCCCCTTCAATCACATCCATCATCCGGCGCATAAAACCACTCACACACATAAGCCTAATATGTGCTGTTTATGTGTGGCAGACAGCAGCTCGGTATATGAGTGTTGGAAATATAAGAGGTATTCAGGCGTGGGCTGCTGGCTGCTGTTGGGACATATCACCCCATCTCTTCCTCGCCACGCTGTTTTTTTTTGTGACACCCACGTACTTTTAGTGAGGACACAGACCACAGTGTTAACCCATGATGGAGGGATAAGTTTTAAGCATGGAGATCTAATTCTTTGTCTTTCTTTATCAAACAAAGAAACGACAGGAAAGCTGATTCTGTGCTACAAAACCTTGCCTTATTGTAGTGAAAGACAATAATTAACAAATTACAGCCCAGCTGAAACAATGAAACAGCTCACTGAGTGGCATGCCAAGTTCGAATAAACAACTAAATTAAATGCTTGCAAGTTTTTCCATATTTTCTGTTATCTATTTTTTTTTGCAGAACTGCCTTCTGCAAAAAAGCATGTCCTCCAAACAGAATAGATTTTATTTCTTTTTATTTATGTCCATTATCATCTCAGAAAATTGAATTTTATTCTAAAAAACCTATTTCTCAGGTAGATATAGACCATTCTCTAGTAACAATGTCAGTTAGAAAGTTAGGCTTTTAAAACTGTTAAAGGATTTTCTATCATGTTTTTTTTTTTTCCTGGAAGGTAAAGCTCTTTACATTAAATCAGCGAAGAAAGTGTCAGTGTAAGTGCGCCCCTCCTGCACTTTTTACTCTGCACTGACATCCAGCAAACTTAAAGCAAACTACTGCCCTCATTCAGTTTCTGTACAAGAAAACAAATAACCAATATATTACTAGTTTAAAAAAAAACTCATTCAACCTGTCTAAATGAATAAAGTGAAAGTGGCAGAAACACACATTTGTACCATTTTTTAACTGAAGAGTAGAAGCTTGCAACATGCAGACTACTACGTCAGATAGCCTGATTATTTAGCCAGACAGAATCATATTAATGTATAACTCATAACTCTATAAATAACCATAGTGGTAGTTTATTTTCTTTACAATAAACATGCTTGTGTATCTTCTAGAATGAATACAAAAATAAAATATTTTATTTTAATTATTTTATATAATTATCTGCTGCTTTTTGGTTCACATAAAAGCACTTAGCTTATCAATATGTTTCTGTTCACACTTTTTAAAGCAAATACTGTTAAATCCTATCATTTTTGCTATGGCATAATAACCTTAAACCAACTTAGTAGCAAAGAAAAAAAAAAGCCGGACTGATGCATTCAGTCCTAATATTTATCACGAATCAAAAAACATATCAAAACAGAACCAAAAATTGACTTGGAGATGATACAGAACTTGTTAAACATGAGAACAACTGACTGCAAATTCCCTCTGTGGCCTTAAATATAAGATTAAGCTGCATGAAGAAACTGTCTTACCTCATGTTTGCCCTTCATCCTGCAGATCCGAATGTCATTTTTATTCGACTCCCAGGTTCTTTTCTGCACATGAAAAAACAGGCATAAATGATCCTAGCTGGTAAGTTACTTGTGCATGTCTCTGTAGACTTAAATAACGTCTCTATGGAATTTTATAAATGCTACGTGTGTCTATCTAGGAGACATACTTTGCTGTAAAACATCTCATCCCCTGCACTGTTGTCCAACTCCACTCGGAAAAGGTCATCCCTGTACAGAGAGACAAAGAGAGAGAAGGTGACTGAGCTGTGCCAGTCAGTGCAGAGTTATCAACAGCTTCACAAAGGACACTACTGCATTAAGGACACTATGAAAAATTACTGTTGCACGTTATTGCAATTTATTACAGACTCACAGAATGACTCCCACCCTTTCTTCCCCTTTTATTTAAAAACCTGTATCTCTTTCCATCTGTTGCAAAAGTCTGTGTTGAGAAGTTCATGTTTGCAGTGTAGCAAAAAGTCAAAAAGATTGACGTGGTAAGAATATCTCTGTAAGGCTCCTATGTATACAAATTTACAAAGATAATATTTCTAAGCTTGGTGTATTTTTGCACCATCAAAGCCCACAAGTTACATTTATTAATTAAATTAAACGTATCAAAAGAGATATTTAGATCAGAGCTTTACAAGGTCTTCGATTTGTCAGCAATCAAAAGACAAATGACACCCCTCTCTGTCATAAAGTCTCACATTCTGCTCTCAACTTTAGCCTCTGATCATTAAACTTGACTCACTGCCTTGGATTTTCTGCTCAGCCTCCCAACTCAGGCTTATCAGCCAAACTGAAAAGCCAGTAATTGAATTAATGAATGATTTAATCAAGTGGTTACATTGAGGCTTTCACACCCTCACATGCTTCCCACACATGGCCCAAAAAAACCTAACGCCATGAATAAATTCATAAAACTCCAAACACCGCTTTATTGCACTTTTAATCCGGAGATAATTGTGTGGCAACCTTGGATGTACCTGTGAGAAATGCCTGCTGAACAAGTGCTATGCCGGGCAGATAAAAGCTGTGGTTTGCATATTGATTAAGGCCCTCCTATCTATTGGGGTGGATCAGAAGTGAGGCGTTCAGCTAAGCACAGGGCCACACTCTGAATGGTCTAATCTGTAAATCTCTGATAGCCATGTTAGTGCTGCGCTATCGATCCCATCCCTCATCCAGCTCCGTCCCTCATCTCTGCTGCATTTTCTCTCTTGGTATAACCTTTTCTCTGACAGCGGGAGAGGTTATCTTTGTTCACAAGTGCCTGCCTATCCTTTTACAAAATGAGAGCATATATGCAGAGTACATGTGGATTTGCTGATGATTTTATTAACAGGGAGAAGTTAGAAGTGAGTGCTTAATGAGACTGCAGGTACCATCTGATTACTCTTCCCCTGAATAATTTATCTTCATTTCCTGTTGTTCTGTTAGAAGATTACCCCCCTTAGTCAGCCTTGCAGAGCTCAGGGGTGAAGAAGCATTGGCTTAGTGCACCCCCCCGCTTAACAGGTCAAAGTCTGAAAACAGTGTGGGGCAGCGAGTCGAGCCTAATCTCATCGAGGCTGCCTCAGCGTTAGCACCGTGAATAAAGCTTATGATAATAAATGGCTTGAATCATTTTTTTAATACATTTGTCTTAATTTCTACCTCAACTTCTATCAGGTTGTTAAATATTTGAGATTTGGGAATGCAGGACTATGTTAATGTTAGAAAAAAGGTATTAAAACTGAACATTTAAAGCAAGAACAGAAACGTTTTGCGAGTCCTGAAGTACTCAAATATGTAAGGCTGAAGGACTGTGCAGTGTCACCGTTAAGATGATTTCTTTATTAAAAGTTTTAAGAGGTATGTGATGTTTAATAGAAAGAGATGTGTACAAAAAAATGTTACATATTATTTTAACTGCAAATGAAAATAATTGGTCTTCAAAGATCCAGCCTCAAAGAGCACTTCTAGTGCTTAATATACTGCCTGGCCAGCAATAACATGAGTCACCCACTCTGGGTCGGGTTAAATACTAGCATAGAGTGGAGAAGGAAAAAACTTCACTTATCTTTATTTAATAATTTTCTTTGAACATAGTTGGGAATGTCATGTATACTCCTTTT